GTTCACTTTGATAAAACTTTGCCCGTGAATCATCGAACAGATCAGCACGTACGTATTGCATAGTCTGGGTCATCATGAGATCAGAACTACAGTAAACTGCCTTGACTTTGAAGAGGTGTGGATAAGGTAAGATGCAATAGCGTTAAAATGAGATACAGCATAAAAATAAACTTCATCATACAGCTGTTTCCTTCTTTATAGAACACGTCAGTGATGCTACATCATACAGTTGTTTCGTCCTTCTAGGACTCTTTAATGATGCTACATCATACAGTTGTTTCGTCCTTCTAAGACTCGTCAGTGATGTTACATCATACAGTTGTTTCGTCCTTCTAGGACTCGTCAGTGATGTTACATCATACAGTTGTTTCGTCCTGCTAGGACTCGTCAGTGATGTTACATCATACAGCTGTTTCGTCCTTCTAGGACTCGTCAGTGATGATACATCATACAGCTGTTTCGTCCTTCTAGGACTCGTCAGTGATGTTATATCATACAGCTGTTTCGTCCTTCTAGGGCTTTTATGTGATGCTAAGTGCTTACGTTACTTATTAAAACCTAGCAGGAGCCTGAGGACAATTGGAATGTGCACAAAACCGAAAAGTAAAAACATTCTGAGTATTGCATGCAGATGACAGATTGTAATAGATATATCTGTAGCACTATCAGCATCTGCAATCGCCATTTTATGGTGTTTTTGGAGATGTCATTGAAAGTTTCGGTTATTTTCAGCTCAATCCAGCAATAATAAACGATAATTATATATCAGTTGCATCAGTAAGACAATTTTGTTACATTTTCCCTATTGTGAACCTTCTGTTTCTAGGTGGTAACTATCCACTTCTTTGCCTTAAAAATTCAAAGATGTCGTGTCCAAATATCACGATTTTTGTGATCGATGTCGAAAGTTTACAGAAAATTTAAAAAAATGGGTCATCAGTGTGGAAAAAATATCTTCGAAATTATGACACCATCTGACCTTCAGTGACTTTCTTAACGGTAAAAAAAGTAGTAAAGAAGACAAAGCGTTCCTTACAGCACTCTGTAATATATGGGATTAATACTTATTTGTTTTTGATGGTAATGTGTTTTCCCGCGAGAGACCATACAATAAACTTGAAGTGATTAGTAACTGACGAGCAAAATTGTGTTAATGCTGGTGAAAATGGGATAACGATTATCTTATCAACAATTCACGCTAGACATGAAACAATAATCTCATTAACGAGATTTCCCAAGGGTTTCGGGACATTCTTTGCAGTTGATTTTTAGGGTAAATTACTTAAAAGTGTGGGTAAAAACGATGAAATAATGACCTACTTAACACCATTCCTTTAGATTGTGTAAAATGGCAATTAATTTTATTTTTTTAAAGTTGTACATAATTTAGATGCAACGACCACAATTAAGTCAGTCATAACTCTGCGTTTCCTCTTACAAGGCCCGCTAGAGTCACGACGGAACCAAAATAGGTTATGAAAGATGCGCGTGTCGTCCGCTTGTCTGTCCTTCACACAATCCTGCCGACGGTTGTATTAACCACCGTATCTTAGTTTGTTTATCATGAATTTTAAACATCACGTGTACTTATCATAGATATGTACATGAATATTAACTAGACATTATACTAACTGTATGACTATATAGCTATAGGGAAAACAAATGCCATTAGCCAATCAAATCTCTCCTTTCAAACATTGATGACGTAGAAGCTTCACCCTTTTGTTCCAATCAAGTTGTCGACAGATTCAGGTCAGGATGTAGGTCGAGGGTTTTAAAAAAAACATAAAATGTTTCTTTGCGTGGCTTATCTCTCTAAATTGTTATTTTTATTGATTCCTAGTGTACAAACCACTAAAATGTCATGTCTGTCTCAGAATTGTAAAAGGGATATATTCACTAAAAATTAATCGGTAAACAACAGACATCGGGAAGAGGCATCGACATGAGATCATGACAGGAGACACATCTGAAGATATCAGTGCGTACCTTTCAATTGGAGATAGGGATTTATGTATCATTCTCTATAGAATTATCCAGTAAAGGCATGAGACAATACCATGTGATATGAGTTCATTTAGTTGTGGTATTAATAACTGAAGTTGATCCTAGCGTTGATAGCGGTTATTGTCTTTATCAACATTCTGACCTTTCACCTTTAAACTCACTGGAAGCAGAGAAAAGTGAGTCGGAATTTATTAAAAAGATTTTCATTGTTGTAATACCCCCTTCACATCTGGATTACACATTTTAGCGTGTCGTTATGTCGAACATCTTCCTCCCTCGCAAAAATGACCGCTATATTAAGACTATCGCAGATTACATCCTGAAAATAATCCAATCGGAAAACGCGTCACATAACCATTATTTTATAATTTATCATATTTCAAAAGACCAAGTACATGTGCAATAATTGAACATGGTTATATTTTCACGGCATTCCATGGTTATGTGACGGAGAGAATGGGTTCTAAAACACATTAAACCGTCCGGTGTGATCACTATGATATTTAAGATATGTCTTCTGTTATTGATGAAATGAATCAATCACTCTCTTTGATTGATATTACGAAGAAAGAAATGAAATGTTCAAATGTAATGAGCATCTCTAAACTAGCGTGGCAGTGTGAAATTTTCGTGATTTAGGAACGTGAAATTACTCTTCTTCTCCGTAATACAATGAGTTCAGTGATAAATTTCGAATGTTCAGACAGATTTTAGACTTTTGATTATAGCCGTGGTCAAGTATAATAGATGTCACAATAGGATTTCATTTGGAACTAAGAATTGATTTTTGTGCAAATATACATACCAACGTGTTAGCAATTCGGCCATACTAGGAAGCAATGCTGAACCCAATATGTAATGGAAAATATTCTCTGGTGTTAGCATATTACTAGCTTTCAACATTGATAAGAAGAAGGCAATGTTGTACCTGAACTAAACAGAAATGGGAAAAAATATTCCTTGGTGGCAGAATGTTTCTAGCTTTCAAATCAACAAAAATACTGTTTCTTTCGGTGGAATACTTAAGTAATTCCTTGGAGAAGACGTTAAACTGTTAATTGTTTTCTTCGTAAATCGCCCTTTCCAAAACTAACCATATTTTGTGATTTTATTCTGTTTTAAAATACAGCAAAAAAGTGTGTTCTCTAAAAAATTATATTTACAGGTGAATTCTACATTTTATCATCTGTATGTTGATAAAGCTCTGATTAAAAAAAAACAGACACCACAGTAAGATTAAATGTGGTTTTACGTTGTATCATATACTTAGGGTAAGTATGTATAATACAGACGGGATTAAAACATTTCAGTTGAACCAATTTCTGATCTTGCTTGGGTCGCTCTACTCATTCCTATGTATATGTTTACACTCTCTGCTATTTACAATTTTACATATTGTTACATAATTCAGTAAGGAATATTTTGTTCTTCATTTGTAATCTATTTTTATCTCTTCCAGATCGAGTCAATAGCAAAAAAAGGTAATACTTGTATGTTTGCACAATTATCAGACATTTAGTAAAATCATTTTTATCTTGCATTATTTAATTGAATTTGATATATTTAAAGGATGCTTTTATTTACATGGAAGAACAGATATCTCCATCATATTTCCAATTATACTGTTGTCGGCTCGTCCAAATGTAGAAGTATATCAGAAATGTGTCGAAAAGGAATCAAACATAATTTTTTTTAATTGTGCTTGTCAGTCATTTCTTGTTTGATAGTTGCAGAACTCCTAAAGGAAATTATTGATTTGATTTGTATCTCTGTGTTACACCCATAGTTACTTAACATGGTATGTTCTACACTTAGCAATACCGATTCTTACCAGGCACAAGTGGCTCAGACGGATATCATCGATGTTGTTTTTAGTTATAGCTTTTGGTTATTCTGTGTATGAAATATTGATATGATAGAATTTCATATGTGTTGATGTTTGTAATTACTCAAATAAAGACATATATTTTTTTCCAATATTTATTTATCAAATGCGTCTATAGAATATATCAAATACACGTCACTTTTCAGAATCAGTATAATACATCATGTTTCATCTGTGTGATAGATAAATTTTTGTTTGTTTTTGTTTGTTTTTTGTTTGTTTGATTAATCGCCTCATGAACAGTAAGGATGATTGGTAAAACGCTTGCCTTATTCGCTTTGAAACGTCATATGATATGTATAATTCATTCGAATGCTGACATGGTTAAGTATATACACGCGTAATTGACGTTCATATTAGATACAAAATAATTACGAAATGTACTGAATTATTGGGATAGTGACCCCCCGACCTAAATTTTGACTTTTTTCCCCGGTCACTTTTGATTTTCCTCAGTCACCTGGTAAGTTAAAATTTAGGCTCTTAGCACTGCCGAATCCTGGAAGGACAAAGCAGCTGTATGAAGCAGTTTAATTCATAATTTGGCTCTACTGTGTCTTCTCTATATTTGTATAAGATGGTGCTATTATTCACTTGTGTGCCTTGTGTAACAGTAATGCCCAATTAATTTTGTTTACCATGTTTTCATGCCTGATCAGAATGATAAGAATCTCTGTTTCAGTTGAACGAACTTGTACTGATCCAAGTCACGCTGCGAGGGGACACCGCGAACTCTATATACAGTTGCTGCAGCCGTACCTTTAACACAACGGAACAATCACAGACGACACGCGCCGGCTGTCTTCACCAGCACGCGCTACGTATGGTCATTAACTGACCATTTCTCATAGTGCTTGTTCTTCGAAACTTTTGCATTTTGAACTCGTCATTCAAAGATAGACATTGAATCGTGTCGGAACCCCTTTTATAAATATTGCTCTTTAATTACTTGTGACTCAACAACCTTGCCATACAGCATTGGATTAGTACGTTTTAACATCAATGAGATTTACTGATTAGTTTCAATATCTGCCTTCACAATCAGATCGTGGATTTGTGTATGATTGGAATGCTAAGCTGAAATATAGGTCTTTGTAAACAGAGGAAAATGAATAACTCATCGTTTCCATACTACCTGGACCCGGAATTACTTTCCGAAACAACCACTACAAAAGGTGTCCCAACATCGCTCTCTTTGAGCCCCGAGCAGGAGATGGTACGTGGAATCTGGATGGCGTGGTATGAATGCAATGTCACCGTTATGTCACAACCGTATCCTAGCGACGGTAAGTCTGTAAACTCTTCCTGCCTATAACGAACACAAGTGTTTTATTAACTGACATATCGCAACCTGACCAAAGTGGTAGTTTGTGTAAAGTGTATTACGATACTGACTTATCACAACCTGACCATAGTGGCAGTTTGTGTAAACTGTATTACGATACAAGACCGATCACAACCTGACCATAGTGGCAGTTTGTGTAAAGTGTATCACGACGCAGACCTACCACAAACTGACTCATGTGACAACCTAACGACGGTCAGCACATGTAAACTTTTCTGGTTATAACGACCATATATGTAAAACGTCATCGACTTATCACAACCCTTTGCTTGTGATAGTAAGTCGTCGCTTATTTCGAAGTCACTGGCAAACACGGATGCCAATCGTAGCTTGATTAACACAATACTATGAATACAACCTTAGCATTTGTTCTGCTTAACTTAGATTGACACCAGTCTGTATTTACCACGTCTGTATTACAGTAACCATGAACCCGTCTAAAGCGATCACCTAAACATTCCGTACTCTGCTATACTACCACTCCTGATAAAAACCTGCTATGAAACACCTCAGTATTCAGCCTTGCTATATTGTAGTATCTGAGAACGCCTCTCTATAGCGTTAACTTTTAAGTCACCAAAAACTTCTGTCTGAAAATATAATTACTTCCTAAATTGTTTCTTTTTATTTATATTCTCATTCTAATTTAAAAAAACTAAAGGCCTTAAGTAACAGTTCCTGTTTCCTTCAGTCGCCTCATAGGTTTAAAAATTTATGTCCTTAGCTTTACTATCGGGTCATAAAAGGGCGAAAGTCCATTATCTGACTCTTTTGCATCTAATTCTAAATTAGCGTTGTAAGTTGCTATTTACTTGTGTGCCTTTTGTACAACCTTAGACGTATATTCAGATTTCGTTGCTTAGATAGTTCTATCGCCCCCGCGAAAAACTGTAGGTTACCTCACTGAACAAAGAACGGGAGGCCCGTCGCATGCCGTTCAGAGCAAGTATCCTTCCCAAGGACACAGTCATGTCAACAGAGACTGGTCCGTTTCTCATGATTTCATGGTGAACTCTTGCTCACAAAATCCGCTAGAACTATAAACCATGCCAGGCTTGTGTTAATCATTCGATGACATATGAATTAATTGATTTAGAGTACTCACAAACGAAAATAAATACCCACGAAAAATAAAAGTTTTACAGTAGAAATATATATCCATTAGGTTACATGGACTGAACTAAGACATCTTTATCACACAAATGAAAAGTAAAACAGATTTCATAATTGTATTCAATGCTGCACATGAAATATGCTCCGCTATATTCATAAAGGCACTTAATAACATCGGAACGACGATTAAATTACATTGTCATAAATTTGCGTGGTGATTGTCGGAATCTACAAACAAATCGTCTAACTGTCCTTGACCTTCTAAATAGTCTGTGTAAATAAATGGCTTATATTATTGCTGATATTGATTAGCTCTAAGTTCTAGTTGTTTGTTGACACGTCTGTTGTTTATGAATGATGTATATACCTACATCGGTTAGGAAGAGACTTCGTTCGTAATTATATTAATGAAATATTGAACAACGTCCCCAGGGTAAATTTAACATTCATGTTAACATGATTCACACACGTCAAAACCATCCATAGAAAAAATAAATTGTCATTATATCTCGAAAGGAGAATAAAACATGCTGCTTACAAGAAAATAAATGTTTATCCAAATGTGATGTTCGTTAGAAACATCCCTGGAGAGGGCAAAGCATTCAGGCAATATGACATGAATAACGTTAAAGTCAAAGCATGGATAATGAATATTCATATACGGTCTTCATGAATATTCATATATTATCTGATTAATTCAAATACGAAACTACCGAAAAAAAATCAGCCGCGTGGAAGTATAAAAGAAATATTAATCAATGTAAATAGAACATTTTTGATTAAAACACGTTTTTTATGTGAATTCTACATAAAAACACGCGTTATTGTAATCGATGCATTTATTTACAATTACACTGGAAATCAAACTTCTTGTGAGATTACTCAATGTTTCACAACGTATGGCGAAATTGTACGAAATGTCGCTGTTAGCACGCCAGCATCTAGCGAACCACTCGCGAGCAGAACTAACGATGTATGAGAGCTATTATGCATTACAGAATTGTGCGTAAACGGTTATCATGAAGAGTATCTGTGGCGATGTGATGTTAAGGATAGCTGTTATAGCCCGGCAAGGGGACAATTCAACTGGCTTCAAATTGATTCGCTATATAGATAACCTTATAATAATTGTTGTAGCTAAAATAAGGTTACATACCAAAGGATAAAATAATGAGTGAAAAGTATGTTATCTTATTCACTTATTCATAAACAATTCAGAAGTGTATATTGAGTTGGATGGTTATTGCAAATTATCATTTTCACCGGGGAGCTGTTTTGCCACCTACAAAAAAAGCAGACAATCGTGATAAGCTTCATTCTGGACTTTTGGGAATTTTGCATTGGAACAGACAGCGTACACCATACACACTATAAAACCCTGCTTAATATTTATTCTGTTCGATTTACAATTGTTTTGTTTTTTTTCCTATTCAAAACTCATGTGTTATATTAGATATAAGAAGAGAACCTAGTTCAATAAATACTGCTATTCATTTTATCAATGCTTCCTGTAGAGGATTCTTATTTTAAAAATATAGCGTGAATGTGGTCGCTTTACAATGTGCACTTGCTAAAATTAATTACTAAAACAACACGAACACCTACTGGTCCTTTTAAATAGATTTTGTAGTGGGTACGTAATAGACTGTTTTAGTGAACCATCAGGCTAAAAATAGTTGTATCGGCTTTTTCCTTTAACGACACTAAACGTCTACATTGTTGAAACCTAGCAGGACATTGCAGAATGTCATAATTGGTATAAATGAATGTGAATAGTCCAATTGTTCACCATGAACTTCATAAATATAACTTCTTATTTTGAACGAATTTCAAAAAGCGGTCAAGTTCATTGGTATATTTTGAACTGAAGTCTTCAAGCATTATTACATCTGCAGTCTCAAAAATGCACAAAGACACACATTTTGAGTTTGATAAATTCTAACCAAATGTATTGAATCATAATGCATCAAAAAATTGTTAATTCAAGAATTTGTCAGTGTTAATAATGGTCTAAATTTTGAAACCTAGAATCGACCGAGGGAAGTAAAAATTTATCGGAAGAAAGGTCAAAATTAAGACGAGAAAGTGCAATAACTAAGCAATTGAATATGGGTCACAATTTTCCAATATCAAACGGACTATCCTTAAGGTATCTTAATTGTGCCAATATCCGCTTTTGCATGCAGGTTACGGCAAAACTCTTGGATTGAAGTCCACCAGCAGTGTCTATAGTCCTGAAGGTTGTACAATCGGCACACTAGAGAACAACTCATTCCATTACTAATTCAGAATAAGAAACTTAGCCTAGTTTTAACAACATACTCAGTAGACAAATTGCCGTATATTAACGAAGGTAAAAAAATGATGTTTAATTCACTCTCTGAAGTGCTCTGAAGGATACAATCCGGAAATTGAGCACTCTGCTCAATGATCTTCGTGCCGTTTATGTTACAGAACGTATGTTGGTATAGGACAAATTACATAGGAAATCCGGGTTTGCTCATCATAGTCTGTGTTATTTTATGTGTCAGTGATTCGTATCACATTTATGCTATGAATGGAACCCTACCGCCCTTATTACCTCTTAGGTGTATGTAACGATGGGGAAAGAATATGCCTGTGTGTCACAGCATGTCGTAAGAGGAGACTTATTGTCGGTGGGATAAACCTTGAAGATCGGGTTTCTCCGATGCTTTCTCTTTACGATACATAAGGGAGCTAAGAGTGGTGTCAGCTGCATTACTCTGTATGTTCATAGGGGGCAAATAAAAGTAGACTTCCAGTAATTTGTACTTTCCCCATGTCTTCTACTATAGGGGAAAAGAAGAGAACACAGTTAATCTAATAAATGCCCCCACTGCTTGGAACCTTGATAGCATCCTCTCTCTTTCTGTCTTTCTCTTTCTTTCTGTAATTTATTTGGCATTTGTGCTGTTACACATGTTCTTAGATGCTCTTTGCTATGTTAAACCCCTTTGAGAAAAATCTCCCATGCGGATTTCCCCTTAAAAAACCTTCCACGCAGATCTGTGATGAGGCCGATGAAGGAGTCGGTTTTTTTGTACTGTCAGGAATAGTTATCACAATCACGTTTTCATATATTTTACGATGGTACCGTTGGTATTAGTAGTTTTACAATTTTAAAGCCAAATTCACATTTGTTTCGGTCTACCAACTACCACTGCAGCTACATCTGGACATAAATATGTTCTAGATTCTCGGCTATATATGATACGTTCAGTGGACCAAAGGACAAACAAATCCCATGAGAGTAAGCTACCAATAACATTATAGACAGACATATCAACGGGAATGAAATATTTATATCAACATAATAGGACGCGTTGCTTAGATTTGTAGAAGGACATTCTGTCTAGTTTCTGACATAACGCCAAAGGACAACACACAGTGTCAGCACTTGTCTGTCTGTATGTCTGTTGTCTGTCTGTCTCTGGTATGTTGTGATAATGGATGTAATTGCTGTTATGATTTTGAACACTAAATATAAAGATAAGATATATTTTTAAAGTCTGATGTAATAAATTTATGTTACTTATAAAATAGATCAATGGCTTATTGAAGTAGGTAATTGTGGCGTCTTTACTATTAATCCTCAATACTCTATAATGATAGAATACTCAGGTAGAAACTGATATTATATAAAGGTAGAATACTCGGGTAGAAACTGATATATAAAGGTAGAATACTCAGGTAGAAAGTCGTACCTGATATTATATAATGGTAGATACGGAGCCCGTTAACTGACATGCTCCATACTTATCTTATTTCGTTTTTTCGAAATATTATTTCGTTTTTTCGAAACTTATT